TCGCTAAGATTATGTATTGACTATCGAAAATTGAACAAGATGACGGTCAAGAATAAATATCCACTACCCAGGATTGATGACTTATTTGATCAATTGCGAGGAGCTATTGTATTCTCTAAGATTGATCTTCGTTCGGGGTATTATCAATTGAAAGTTAAAGGATCTGATGTTGCAAAGACGGCCATTCGCACTAGATATGGTCATTATGAATTCTTAGTGATGCCTTTTGGTTTGACGAATGCTCCTTCAGCTTTCATGGATTTGATGAATCGGGTGTTCCGACCATATTTGGATCAATTTGTGGTGGTCTTCATTGATGATATTCTGATCTATTCTCGTACTGAGGCAGAGCATGACGAGCATTTGAAGATCGTTCTGCGAACTTTGAGAGAGCATCGTCTTTATGCCAAACTAAGCAAGTGTGAGTTTTGGCTTCAAGAAGTGTCGTTTCTGGGGCATATTATTTCAGGGCGAGGTATTCAGGTCGATCCAAGCAAGATTGAAGCTATTGTGAATTGGAAACGACCCAAGAATATCTCTAAGATTCGTAGTTTCTTGGGCTTGGCTGGTTATTATTGACGTTTTGTTGAGGGATTTTCGATCATTGCTTCTCATTTGACAAAGTTGTTAAGGAAGAATGTGCCGTTTGACTGGGGTGAGGCACAACAGGAGAGCTTTGAGAAATTAAAGGCGGTATTGACTCAAGCACCAGTATTGATTCAACCAGAGTCTGGGAAGGATTTTACAGTGTATAGTGATGTGTCACACTCAGGACTCGGTTGTGTTCTAATGCAGGAAAGTAAGGTGGTGGCTTATGCATCCCGTCAGCTGCGACCGCATGAGTGTAATTATCCTACTCACGATTTGGAGTTGGCAGCAGTAATTTTTGCCTTTAAGATTTGGAGACACTATCTTTATGGAGAGAAGTGTTACATTTTCACGGATCATAAGAGCTTAAAGTATCTTCTGACCCAGAAGGAGCGTAATTTGAGACAGCGACGCTGGTTAGAGCTTTTAAAGGACTATGATTGCGTGATTGATTATCACCCTGGTAAAGCTAACATTGTAGCAGATGCTTTGAGTTGAAAGGCGGTAACAGAGTTGAGATCTTTAATGGCCAGGATGAATTTATATGACGATGTCACTCTGTTAGCAGAATTGCAAGTTAAGCCGACCTTGGTTGATGAGATCAAAGCTAAGCAGCCCCTTGATAGCTTATTGCTTTCCATCTTTGAGCAAGTAGAGCAAGGGACAAGCTCAGATTACGCCCTTGATCAGGATGAAGTTTTATGCTTCAAAGGTCGGTATTGTGTGCCTGATGATGCTGAGTTGAGGCAGACTATCCTTACTGAGGCTCATAGTAGTCCATATGCTATGCACCCCGGTGGAGATAAGATGTATCGGAATTTGAAAGAGAGGTATCATTGGGTTGGCATGAAGAAGGACATCTCGAATTTTTTGGCGAGGTGTTTGCCTTGTCTGCAAGTTAAGGCAGAACATCAACATCCATCAGGTTTGTTACAACCTATCAAGATTCCTGAATGGAAATGGGAGTGTATTACTATGGATTTTGTTACTGGTTTACCTATGACTCCTTCGAAAAAGAACTCAATTTGGGTGATTGTTGACAGACTTACACAGTCAGCTCACTTCATTCCTGTACGGATAAATTATACGTTAGACAAGTTGGCGAGGTTGTATATTTCAGAGATTGTCAGATTGCATGGTGTTCCGTTATCTATCATTTCAGATCGAGATCCGAGATTTACTTCAAGATTTTGGAAGGCGCTAGGATTATAGTACCTCCTTCCACCCATAAACTGATGGTCAATCTGAGAGAGTAATTCAGATTCTGGAGGATATGTTATGGGTTGTGTAATTGATTTTCGTGGTAGCTGGGAGAACTTTTTGCCTTTGGCTGAATTCGCTTATAATAACAGTTACCAGACCAGCATTCGTATGGCACCCTATGAAGCACTCTATGGGCGTAGGTATCGTACCCCGATTTATTGGATTGAGTTACGTGATAGGAAGACTTTGGGACCTGAGTTAGTGCGGGAGACAGAAGACACAGTCAGATTGATCCGTGACCGTCTGAAAGAGGCATTTGATAGGTAGAAATCTTATGCAGATCAAAGGAGGAAGGATAAACAGTTTGACATTGAAGATCAGGTTTTTCTCAAGGTATCTCCATGGAAGAAAGTATTGAGATTTGGACGTAAGGGTAAACTGAGTCCGCGATTTATTGGGCCGTATCGTATTCTGAAGAAAGTTGGACCTGTTGCTTATCAGCTTGAGTTGCCTTCCCATCTTATTCGTATTCATGATGTTTTTCATGTGTCTATGTTAAGGCGATACCGTCCAGATCTAGATCACATCATTCAAGTTGATGAGGTAGAGCTGAGACCTGATTTGTCATATGAGGAGAAGCCCATCCAGATCTTAGAAAGAGATGAGCGAGTTCTTCGGAATAGGCGTATTCCAATGGTCAAAGTTCAATGGAGTAACCGAGGCCCCTCATAAGCTACTTGGGAGACATTGAAGTCAATGGAGGCTCAGTTTCCTCAACTATTCTTATAAGGTAAATTTCGAGGATGAAATTTCTTGTAGAGGGGGAGAATTGTAACAACCCGAATATTTACAAAATAGTATTTAATTGAAATTGGAGGCTAATCGTGAAAATTGGCAAAAATTTGGGGACTAAATTGAAAGATTTTAAAACTTGGAGCTTGTTTTAGAGTTAAAGAAAATTTAGGGACTAAACCCTGAATTTACCCAAAAAAAGTTAGGTAAGTTCGGGGTTATATGATATATACGTGTGGTTTCTGTTTCAAAAACAAAAAACCACACTCCCAAATTCCCTTCCCCCTTCACCGGTTTCCGACTTAGATCCCGATGCCATCCAAATTCTGATCGTCGTTTTGAAATCACCATCGTGTTTGTTATCGAGTCAGGAACAAATCCTTCAATTTAATTGAAGCGAATCACTGCCAAACGTCGGGAATTTACAGTCAAAGTCTCGACGTTTTTGTTAGCTCTATCGTCGAGAAAATCTTAAATTCACCGCCGATCGTTGCTCTGTTTACGACACCTCCTGCACCATCGTGTTCCTTGTGTCGTTGCGAGTCTGCCGGTGTCAACCTTGTTCGCCTTCGATGGCGGCGCGCGAGGAGGTGGAGCAGTCAAAGAATCGGGCGAGTTGAAATTCGAGCTCTCCGCCGTTCAAAAATTTGAACCGATTGTTGTAAGTATCTCGAAATCGCTCAAAATAATTTTTGAAAATTTTTCCGTAATTTTTAGACCCCCGGAGGAGGCCTCACGCGCCACACGCGCCGCCGCAGGGAGAGTGAGCAGCTGGAAAACCAGTTTAACTGGCTTTGAACCGGTCTGACCCGACCCGACCGACCCGACCCGATCGTTGACCCGACCCGACCCGACCGTTGACCGGTGACCTTATTTGACCAGAACCTTAAATGGCTTTGACCGACCCTTAAACGACCGTAAATCTTTTCCGAGTATACCTATTCTGATAGTTTTCGACGTGCGAAATCCGTTTCCGCTGTCCGTTTTACCAAATTCGAACCCGAAGACCTCCAAATCGACAGTCAAAATGGTTGACTTTGACTTTGACCAAGAATTTAAATTTTCAAAAAGTCATACTTTATGTTTTTCGACGTCCTGATTCCAATTCCGCAATCCGTTTGGCCAATTTTAATCCCGAAAATCCTCCAAATCGATAGTCAAACCCTAAAAATGCTTATATACTTAAGAATTTTAGCTTTGAACAATTAAGTAAGATTTGAGGCTGATAAATTATTATTGTTTGAAGGTACAAGAGATTCTCCGGATCGTTCGACAGCTCGACCCAACTCTTCTAGATCAATTAAACCACGTGTTCCAATATTCACCCGTAAGACCCGTAAATTTTATGATTTTAGAGATTTATTTATGTTACCCATAAGTAATATAGTGTTATTATAAAATAGGTTCGAAAACTGTAGCAGAGCGTGGTGAAACCAGCAATCAGTAGATCTACTATTTGAACCTATTATCGAGGTGTGTTCCCTAATTATTACTGAACTGTTTTATTGGTTTTAATATGAGGTACATTGAGTTCTTTGGTTACTGTTTTATTGATGCACCAATTTAATGTGATGATTTATGAAATTTGTGTCACGGTGCAATTGAACTTTTGGATTGAATTACAATAGTATAGCTCTGATCAAGCTAATAAACAGAATGGGCCTAATGTGACTCTTGGTGCCCCAAGATACATTAGGTTGGCTTCCCTTGCTGTGTGCTTAGGGTAAGCTATATGGACTTGGACTTACGGGCCTAAGGATACAAGCTCTAAAGCTTATCCTTAGGTTGGCTTTCTTTTTGCTGTGTGCTTAAAGTAAGCTATATGGAAAATAGTTTTTTGGAACTACTGATGGTGTACAAGAAAAGGGTTTAAACTATGATTTTCAAAAGTTAAACTCTTTTATGAATTTATGAGATTTACTGGACTATGATTTGTTTAATGTACCTATTGTGATTTTAAGGTAATATTGGGACACATTGAGCCTAACTCACCTTTCGAAAATGTTTTTTCCCTTTCAGATACTGTTGGTTAGATATCTCGGTTCGAGCACTTGGAGGATCAACATATCTCTTGAAGTATATTTGATTGTAATGTTTTATCTTGCAAGTTGACTTTATTTTGGTGACATGGACCTTATTTTAAAGTATTGTATTTTATGATGATGACACTTTTGCTATTACTGTTTGGTTTATCATGATTTTGATTTTGAAGACCTGTTTTAAATTAATTTATTACTTATTGGTATTATATTTACAAGTTGGGTTTTGATAGTATAATTTATTTCATGATATTTATAATGTGATTTTACATTGATTGAATAACGGTTTCAGAAAATGTCTTTAAGAATCATGTATGTGATCCACTAGACTTAGTCGAAACGCATAGGCCGGGTCTAGGGGGTTACAACTATAATTACCTTTGAGCGACTAAATGAAAGAAAAGTTGAACGATGAAAGATCTGAAACCGCCGGTTGATTGAGGAGAAACAAGACAGCTGAGAAATTGTCGGTGTCGCGGCTGCTGTTGACATTTTGATTGCGAAAATTAAAATTAAAAAAATTAGGGTTCCTTTTATATAAAGAAAACAAAAATTTCAGGCTTTGAATTGAAGATAAATATTTCAAGAGGGAAGCAGCCACAAGATTTGACTAAAGAGATTTTCAAAAAGAAACTTTGGATGTTTGGTCAACGGAAAACTCAAGGGGGAAGAAAGTGATAACATTAATTCTATTTTTTTTGGAAAGATTGAATTCTATTCTCTTGAATGGACGAAGAGAAGACGTGTAGAGAATTAAAAAAAACTTTATTTTAAAATCTACGGTATTTATTATAGTGAATTTGGAACTCGTAAATTTGATATGATAAATTCTTTTAAAAATAACTTTTTAGTGCTTCTAGGTATGTGAGTTTCATGTGAACTAATATTTTATTATTTTAATAGAATTTGTCACTTCGACGTGATGAATTTTATTAAAAATTAATATTTTATCTTTACATTTACTAAATAAGTTAATTTGTTTTTAAAAAAAACCTATCAAACTTGTCACTTCGAAGTGTTGAGTTTGTTTTGAATTTTACAAAAGTACTCGTTGTGTAACGAACAATTTTTAAATTTAAAAAATAAATCAGTAAAACTCATCACGTCGAGGTGACAAATTTCATCGGATTTATTTTTAAAAAGTTATGAAACAAAATAAATAATATAAAAAAATTAAATAAAAAAGATTATTACAAACTAATATAATGGATAATAAAATTTATTTATATTTTTTAGTTCTTGACGATACCGAAGAGTCGTCGAATAATAATGGCGTGGGGTTCATCAAGTACGTCGAGGTCGTTCGCCTTGATCGTCTTTGTCTTCATATTCGTTTGTGTCTAAAGAGGAGATGTGATAAACATCTGATAACCCCGAAAAAAGTTGTATTCTGTGTATTTTTAGTTAGGTTATTAGTACTCTAAAAGCCATTGTCATAGCATTTAATTGCATTTAGAGTCATTTAGTTGCATGTGGTGGTAATGTTTTGTTGTAGCATTTTAATGCTAAAACTGATGCTACTAAAAGGGAAAGGTCTTATTTGTTGGTGTTGTGCATGTGAGAAAATTTAAAGGAGAAGCAATGACTTGTTGTAGCATTCTGGATAAGGATATCTGAAGGTCTGTAGAAGCTGATGAAGAAAGAAAAATGGCACAACATTTTAGATAGTAAATTTGGGCACAGAAAAAGACAAAAGAGCAAAGATATTTTGTTGCCATGTTGTCCATTTACACGTGAATGTCCTGTCATGTTGTCACTTTTGGGACCACTTTCCAACATGCCTTATTCTTCACGAGAATAGAATGAATCATAAGGTACAAAGGGAATTTTGGGCCCAAAACCCTAGGAAATTCTCTAGTATAAATAGCAAGGATACCCTACATTTAAGAGAGTTTTTATGGGAGAGGTGTCCTAACCAAGGAAAGGAGGCGACAACTCACAAAACTTTCATTTTTTTTCCTTTTTCCTCCTTTTCGTAGTGTCCTCCATAGCTAAGCTTCAAAGGGTAGCAAGTTAGGCCCTTGAGAGAGGCTAGCCTACTAAAGTTGCTCAAGGCAGTGGTTCTAAGTCACGACAGCATCTCACGTTGGGAGTCTTCTTCTTCTTTTTTTTTTCTTTCATTTCAATATTTTGAGTGGGTTTTTACTAAACGATGATGATGATTAAACTTAAGCCCGCTATGAACTAACTTATTTGGCTTGGGTTTGCTTGGATGCTTTTTATTTTGTGTTTAATGAATGGTTGAATGTTTTTATGTTTAAATGCTTGATTTGCTCATTATTTATATATTTAATTGCTTAGTCTTGTAAGAGCTTTCAAGAGTTATCCATTTTCTAAGTATGGATCCTTAATATTGAGAGAGTTAGGCTAGATCGGCGTAAGCAATGGAACTAAATCAAGATAGTGAGGTTCTAATCCATCTTAGAGATAAGGAGAGGGTTTCATTGACTAAAAGGGGTAGGACGTAATCGATATGGCTGTGCTGCAATTTACGCTGAGAGGTGTTGCCGTGACATTTTCTCTATCAGGTTCCTTAGTAGAGGTAGCTTAGGATCACTAGTAGTAAACCATGTCGAGCAACATACTCATAGAACGCATAGACCATTCTAGGCACATAATATTATTTGTCGTAGAAAACGCAACCATTTATCCCTATAGAAGTTTGATTGTGTGAGCTTGTCAAGTCTTATTTTATTGTCCAAAGTTCAATTTTATTTTTTTATAGCACTCTTCATTTATTTTACACAAAATTCTTTTATTGGTTACCGCAATATTTCCACACTTACACATACCATTTTTCCATAACATTCTTAATCACTTGTCTATACCATTTAAATTTACTAGTGACAATCTTTTGCTATAGCTTCACTCTAAGTTTCACCAATCCATGTGGAGATGATACTCACTCACTTCTATATTACTTGTTTGATTATGTATACTTACACATTTGTGCGTGACATAGCATAGTACATTATACACGCAACAACATCACTCTACTTTGAGATGCACCTTCGAAATATGATGATGGACTTATGGTATTTGAGGCCATCATTAACTCGACTTGGCTATGTTGTTGACCATATATAATATGATCTCATTCACCCTCACATGAATATTCGGTCGAGTTTGGCAGTTTTTAATTCAAAACAAACTAGTCACCTCGACATGATGAGTTTGACAGTTTTTTTATTTTCAAATTATTTAGTAACAATAAAAATAAAAAATTAATTTTAAACAAGACTTATCACGGCGAAGTGACGAGTTCTATTGGAAATAATAAAATATTAGTTCACATGGTGCCCATATACCTGGGGTCATTAAAAAATTATTTTTAGAGGAACTTATCAAGGTGACGAATTCTAAATTCACTGTAATAAATGTCGTAGATCCAAACTAGGTTTCAACGCGCCACATTAGGCTAAATAATTATAATATTTGTCCTATTGGGTAAAAAATGAAAGAGGACAACATACTTCAACCCAAATATATAATGTTTTAGAGGCCAAAATAAACTCATAAGGAAACAAAATAAACTAAGCTTAAAATCCAATTGATAACTCCGTAAAAAGACTTAAATTCTTGTCTTTTCACTTAAGTTATTGCTCGTCTAAACAAAGTATGCATTGCATTTTTAGTTGCATTTGGTTACATATAGGTTGTGGTGGATAAGTTTTGCCTAGGCAAGATTTATTTGGCTTAACTGATGTTGCTGAGGAGAAGGGGTTGTTTGAGTTGTGTTTGTGCAGGAATTCTACAGAGGAATAATATTTCAGTCTTGACAACGAAAAGTTACAAAGGCCAATGGAGCACATGAGAATATGAGGAGTAGATTTATCTCGCCAAGGCAAGATTTATCTGAAGAAGTCTGAAGCAAATGTGGCAAAACCGCCTATGTCACATGCCAGCTGGATGACCTGCTTCACGTGCAAGCAAGCCTTGAATATCCTGACAACCGCCATCCGCCTTTCCTTTTTAAGTTTGGGAAATTAATAATGGCTAATTAAGGAAACTCCAAAATCATGCAAAGCCCTAGGAGATTCTCCTTATAATTACCAGCCGTAGCCGTAAAAAGAAAAAAAGGAAAAGAAGAATAAAGAAGAGCTTTACCTTAGGTGTGAGCAAGCAACTGCAGTGCTTTCCCTCCGTCTACCCCCAGTCTTCCTTGGTGTCCTCTATAACTAGACAATAGCAGAGTGGTGATCAGGCCTCGAGAGAGGGTGATCACCAAGGCAGGCATGGTGCTCATCAGGATTGTCGTGACAGAGCCCCCGGTTTTGGGAGTCGTTCTTCCTTTGTTATTAAACTCTTATTTTATTTGGGGTTGTATTAAACGGTTTAATCTTAGATGATCTTTGATAACACCATGAATGCTTTACTTGGTGTTAAACTTTGTTTTGCCTGAACAATATTTTATGTTTATGAATGATGAATTATGTTTGCTTATGACTGTTTTGCTCATAGTTTAAATATTTTGCATTAACACTGTAAGAGCATCGAGAGATAGCCTTTTGTCTAGAAAGTGATTCTTGAATTCGAGAGAATTAAGAAAGATCAACATGAGCAAAGGAATGAATCTGGGATGGTGAAGTTCTAACTTGTCTACCTTAGAGATAAGGAGTGAGTTTCAAACGACTAAAAGGGATAAAGGCTAGAGTAGATTAAGACAACGTCTATAGTTAACGCCGAGAGGTATTGCCATAGCAACCGGCTAAGAATATCTAGTAATCCTGTTGGGCAGTTTAGTGAGTCATAATAATTCATTCTGGGCTTAAAATAATTGTTGCCGAGACAATGGTTTAGCATCAGTCTCTGTGACACGTCTGAATATGTGAGGTTGTTTGCATTATATTTAATCCAATACTTGTTTTGTTTTATCTGTCTGCATATTTTCTTTGTCTCGACCACACTTGTCTGAAATCATTGAATCATTATTTTTAGCTCCTTAATATTAGTTTTTAGCTTTAATACTTAGTAGGATTAATTTGTGGCATTAGTTCTAGTTTTGGTGAAAAGATATTTCTAATCCATTCCCTATGGAGACGATACTCACTCACTACTATATTACTTGCATCGATTGTGTATACTTGCATATATTAGCTTGCCTTAGCATAACATTCACAAGCGATCAAGTTTTTGGCGCCGTTGCCGGGGATTGCCAACTGACAAAATTTCCAGCCATAACAAGTTCTTTGTGTCACTTTATAATTATTTAGTCTAACATAGTTTATTATTTTCTTTTATAGGTTTTTATTATTGCATGACCTTGAGATCTGCTGGTAAGCCTTTGGAACCATTCGACCCCGAAGTTAAGAAATCATTCAGAAAAAGGTTGCGTGACCAAAGAACCAGAGAACAATTGAATCAAATGCAAAACGACATGGGAGATTTAGGAGATCAAGTTGCAAGACCAAGAGCGATACGAGATCATTTGAACCCAATTCTCGATGACCTCAATCCTGGCATAGTAACACCTGAGATACAAGCCACTCATTTTGAACTCAAACCGGTGATGTTTAATATGTTGAACTCTATCGACCAATTTGGTGGTACACCCAATGAAGATGCTAGACAATATGTGCGTGTTTTCCTTGAAGTATGA